TTTAAAAGTATCAGAATCGACTCAGAGGAATATTGGTACAATTTAAAATGATTTAGTACTTCCTAATAAGAGATATTCATAATTTCGTAAAGATGATGCAATGGTACCGCTAGAGTATGATTTAAACATGTTTATCACAGTTTAAAATAAATCTAAAATACATCGACCATATTTTTTTTCTTCTAAAAACAATTGTTTCAAAGCTTTCTACAATTCGAACATCTTTTTATTTAGTTCATCTGATACATACAGAAAGAAGCCGTTAGTAATCTGTAATGTTATTGCAGCGTTTTCCAAACTTTTAAAAACTTTTTGTAGTGAAAATAAGTGTCCTATATACTTGAGGAGATTCCTATATGAATGGTGCTTTTTTAATTCCTATATTTTCATCAAATAGCATTGCGAAGGCAGTTCATTATTATCTATTAATCGACTCAATATCTATGAAAAAAGAAATTTCTTTTTCTTCTCAATTATCTATTCCATCTCATTATTATGACACAAGTTGATGATGAACAAATAACAAATATAAAATCATTAGATATGACATCTATACAATTATTAACGTCAGACAAGATGGTTCAAAAATATAGTTTGATTTTAAGTTAGAAATCTCAATTTGATCGATTGATTGATTGATTGATTGTTTTTTTTATTCTTTGGATGGGCAGATTTATGTACAAATTTAATTAATTATGCAAGCTCAATCAAATAAAAGTTAAAAGAAAATAATGATAATTATTAAATATAGTGCATCGTTCAACAACAGTTTTACTACTATTTAATCACTGTTGGTCAAACCCATTCGATTTCTTCTTATCTGATATGCAGAATCTGCCGCTAAAATGAAAAATTTCCGTCATTATAAAATTCAATTCAAGATTCATTTGAAAAATTGTAAAATTTTTCTCTGAAAAAAGCAGATAACGGATATTCCATAATAAATAGCTCATTTTTATTTCCTAGCTTCGAAACATTTAATAATTTATTTTGAATTTTTGGTTTTCGAATAGATTTTTCGCATCACAGTAATGTTAACAAGATCAACATCTTCTCAATCGTATGAGTACAAAAGTCAAAAATGCGAAAAATAATAGAAAATTTTTAGAAACGAATCTGCTGAAATTTGAAATAGACTATAATATTCTACACAAAATTCCGCATCTTTAGATGATCTTTTTCAAAGTGTTAGAGCAAATATTTGAGGGAAAAATTTCGAAAGAAAAAATGTCGATGCACCAAATAAAAGCTGGTTTCGAAAAAAAATGAGTCATTGTTTTTGGCTGACTCAAATTAGCCTAAGTCTTTTTAACTATTCAAGTGAATACATGCACCATTTTGTTCAGAATTTAATTAGGCATCTGATGATATGGGATTCAGCATTTATAGAACCACTCTGAATTGTGATAAGATAATTTTTCATAATATATCCCAAAATATTCTCAGATATTAGTTCGCAACTTTTATTCTCTCAAACAAAACACTTATATACAATACTTAACTCTTAGCATCGATCTTTATGAGCGCACGTTCATACAAATAGTTTTTTATCTTTAGCAAAATAGGAATTCGCATTTTGGGTGTGGGTAGGTCAGAGATGGGCAAGTCAGCTATTTTTTCACTCAAGTCAAGTCAAGTCATTTGTCAAAGAGAGTCAAGTCAAGTCAAGTCAAGTCATTGCTCAAAAAAAAAATCTTTAAGTCAAGTCAAGTCAAGTCATCAATTTGAGATACGCCATTGCAAGTCAAGTTAAGTCAAGTCCGTGTTCTAACCAAGTCAAGTCAAGTCAATTCTCAAGTCATTGACTTGAATTTTTTTTTAAATTTCATAATTTAGTTATGTATTAATTTATTGAAAAAAAAATTAAATCAATTCAGTTGTAATACAAGTTGTAATTGATCTAATCAGTTTAACACAATAGGTCACGTATGTTGCACACTCAGCCGTATAATTGCTTATATACTTGCAAGTGTCGATGTCAGATAGTTTCCTTTGTGAGATCAAACAGACTAGACAAATAAACAATGAATCCTCAATTCATTGTTTATTCGTCTAGTCTGTTTAGGACCTTATTTTGTACGCACAGGTCAAATATAACCTGACGAGAATCTAATATGCATTGAAGTTGCAAAGAATATCTGACTTGACTTGTATTTTTTTTGTCAAGTCACAAGTCAAGTCAAGTCAAAAACTGAAAAAACAAAGTCAAGTCACGTCAAGCCGCAAGTCATTAAAAAAACCTTTCAAGTCAAGTCAAAGTCAAGTCGCAAGTCATTAAAAAATTTTTCAAGTCAAGTCAAGCAAGTCAAAAATGACTTGACTTGACTTTGACTTAAGTCATTTTTGACTTGACTTGCCCATCTCTGGGGTAGGTGTCACTAAAAGTAGAATACATCTACACCGTAACCAAAACCCACATCCAAACCAGTTCCTAGATCGAGGAGATTCTTTAACCAGGAGAAAAGTCTAAAAACCAGGATTCTCCTGGCTAAATCAGGAGATTTGGCAGACCTGGTTCCAGCTAGCACGACAGCGTTTTGCTGGGTAGTGACGTTCAGGTCTTTCTTTCCGGTTGTTTAGATCGTGAAGCTGATTTTGAAATCTGGATTTTGACATAGATGTGACATTGGCTGCAAGTTGAAAATGATGTTTTCTTTCATCTATCTTTGCAATATTATTTCTTATCACAGTAATATCTTTGTGATCGGATGGAAGTATTTTTTCTTTCATATTTAATGACTGTTGATAATATTTCAATGCACGATCGAGATCATTCAATTCGTGATATATGGCTGCAATGTTGTTCAATGTCATAGCAGTATCAATATGATACGACGGTAAAAAGTGTTGCTGCATTTTTAGCACATTTTCATAATATTGCAATGCATGTTTATATTCTCCAGTTTCTGTATATATATTACCAATATTGAGTAGTGTCACATATCCAAGATTTTGGAGATGCCACTACATCTCCCGTGGGAGATGCCGCGTTTCCAGCGGGAGACGCGACACCCACACTCGAGAGATGTGGTCATTCACCACTGGAGATGTAAGATCTCCTTTAGAGATGCGCATCCCCCACACCCACACCCACATCTCTCGCGCGAGATGCGGCATCTCCCGCGGGAGACATGGTGGCATCTCCAAAATCTTGGATATGTGCCACTGCTGCCAATATTCATAAGTGTTGTTGTTGCTTGTATATGTTCTTTTCTATAATATTTTTCAAATATTTCTATAGACTTCGTATATAATTCAAGTGCCCGATCGTATTGTCCTTGTAGATGATAAACAATACCTATATTTGTCAATGGTTTCGCTGAATCTTTTATTCGCATTGGTTTATTATTCATCATTAAATTATAAACTAGTTCATAGTATTCAAGTGCCTTCTCAAAATCACCTTTATTATAATACGTTGATCCAATTAGATTATTAGTTTTTGCGATATCATTCTTTGCTGTATGATCACTTAATAATAAACTTTGAAAATATTTTAATGATTGATCATATTGTCCCATATCAATTAGTAATTTGCCAAATATAAGTTCAATACTAAATTCTTCTTCTCCTTTTCTATTTAGTTCGATATATTCTTTAGCAACTTTTGATTCTTTATCACTAGCTCTTAGTTTAATTGACCATAGATGTAATTCTACATCTTCCTTAACGAAAACTAATTCAAATCTTGATCCCAGATCGAATAAAACTTCTAATTCACCTGTATAAACACTAAATTCTGCAATATCAGCAAAGATAATTGAGTCTGTTTCTTATATATTACATTCAATTTCATATAGAACGAAAACAATCTCTGAACATTTGCTCAGTTTTGTAGCGAACTTAAGTGCGACATTTTTTGAACGACTTGTTGATAGGAAACCATTTGTTGAAATTAAACGACCTTCATTTTGTTTTAAAGTTTTATGTTCTTCTTCTTCCATTTTTCGTCCACGATAAAGCATAATGATTTTTTCATCTGTTTTTTGCAATTTTTCATATTCAGTAGCAAGACTAAATGATAAATCAGCAATAAAAAATCAAAATATATGTAACTGTTCAATGTCTTCAGTTCTCAATGCTCTATTTACTATTTTATAGAGAAATGTGTCTTTCGTATACCATCTAATAGCCATATTCGATTTATAGTCATCTTCAAATTCATGAATAAATTTTAATTCTTTTTCATTTCCACAATAATAATGTTGACAAAATTCAATCATTTGTTGTTTTGCATGATTATCTCTCGGTAATCTCAAAATGACATCTTTAAACATTTGAAATCATAGAAATTCAACTGATTCTTTTGATAAATCTCTTCTAGATTTTTGTTTATGTTGATTAAAGAAATTGAATGTTTCTAAATATTTTTCGATGAGAATAGCATTTTCTTTGAGAGAATTAAGTAAATCATAACGTTTAATATAAATTCCAATTAGTTTCGTATATTTTTGTAATAGATCTTGATATTTTTCAGGTTTAAAACAAAAAAATAAATATTGAATCAACTTGTCTTAATGCATAAACTTTTCTTAAAATTTTTGCAGCATTTTTTCCAGATGTAATAAGAAATATTTTTTCATTTGTAATTGATTTAATACTATCAATACAAGCTTCTAGTTCAATATGAAACACAACAAAATTATTGATTTCTCGTAATTTCTTCATCGTTTCTTTCGTATCATTAGTTTTATCAATATTTGAATCATACCAAATCAATCGAATACTTTCCAGATTTTGTTGTGATTTCACGTCTTTAGCTATCGTTGATAATGAGGTCGATGCTAGTGAATGTGTAAGCTCCGAAGTGTTTGAAGAGTCATAAAACGTAGTTTTACCAACGACTGTAGTTTTTTCTGAAGAGCAACTCACATGAGATTATTGCTGTTGTTGCAAATCTTCACCATTATTCTTTAATGGCGAAACTATTTCTTTGAATGTATCTGTCGATTGTTTTTCTGACTGTTTGCTCATAATAGTTCTTAAAAAGAAAAGGGTATAATCTCTATTGAATGATGAAATAAGTATATATACCAGGTGTTTCACAATGCTTGCACACGTTTTATTTTGCATATGTTTCAGCATCGATAAATGATAAGAACTTGATTTTTGTAAAGATATGCCATCGGAAGCTCTACAAAATCTACATATAAAAATTTCTATTGACTTTCCCTCCTGATTTTTTTTCTAAATGGATGTGGGTGTAGGTGCGATACTGAAGAGACCGTACACACCCACATCCATTTAGAAAAAAATCAGGAGAGAGAGTCAGTAGAGTTTTTTTTTAATCGATTTTGTAGAGCTTTCGATGGTACATCAAACAAAGAAATCAAGATTTTATCATTTGTTTCTGTTTGAAATATATACAAAATAAAACGTGTGCAAACATTTTGGAACACCCAGTATATAACAATTCACACTAATAACATTGAGCATGGATATATCCGATCTTTAGTTTATAAACCTTGAATATCTATATGTATGTGTGACTGCTGTTTTCACGTTGTTTTAATGATTAATAAATATCTAATCCTTGTCGTTCTTTCAGATGAAACTTTTAGAGAGACAAGAAAGTCATTTGGTTACGTTTGTAGCTACATCCGCAGTCATGCTCACAGGAACCAACATGGGTGTGGGTGTTAGTTTCTTTTTCGCACACCCACACTTTCACCCTCGTTACTGGTGGAGCAAATATTGATATCTTCCTAAGTAGTGGAAAGTTCTTTGATCCATCAACAGGAACTTGGACAACTACTGGTCGCATGATTAGGCAACGAACAATGCACACAGTATTCATATTAACAAATGAAAAAGTATTAGTTGTTCGTGAAGGAAAACAAGATAGTCCTCTGGATGGTACTGCTGAATTGTATGATCCATCAACTGGAATTTGGATAACTACTGACAGCATGAATAATGCACTATATGGTCACAGAGCATCCACATTAAGAAATGGAAGTGTTAGTTATACTAGTGGAGGAACTTTTATTGATATTTTTAGTAGTGTCGAATTGTATGACCCATTAATAGAAACTTGGACAACTACTGGTAACAGACCCATGCATGATATGATTACGCAATGACTTCATTAACAAATGGAAAAGTGTTAGTTACTGGTGAATGGTCAAATGTTAGTGTGGTTCGAACAGTGCAGAAATATATTAAACATTTCAAACAGTAAATACAACAAGCAGCTTTTGATGTTTCATACCATGGTTCTTGTTTGCGACCATTATCCTTCAAAACCCGATTGTCTTCATATTTGCTCATTGTTTTATATTGTGGCTTTGGGTATTGTCTGTAGAATTTCCTTTCTGATCTATGATCATAATAAACTATTCAAATTTTCTACAGCAGTTTTGTGAAATACGATTGATTATGAGTTTGGAATTACATAGTGAGAAAAATGAACCCTTCTGCCTCTAATCTGGTCCCAAACTTTGTGACAGACAGATAGGATAGAAAAAATTCTCTAACATTACAAAATCAGATCGTAATAGTCCTGAACAAATCGAATGTACGATATCTTAATTCTTGTTTTTCAGCAATCGACAATTCGATGAAAATTAGTAGCAGAGAAGTGTTTACTTCGAATTCCAATGAAGGAATGCAGAGTTCATTTGCGGAAATGCTTCATAATCTTTATCAAGACTCATTCATCAGTGCTCTGAATTCTTATGAAGTACATCTAACTTTTTACACAAGAGTACGAAGAATAATATTGGTAATATAAAGCACAAAACACTAAGATTTCAAATGCAACAGAAGGAAAAAAGAAGTTTTAATTACAAGCCAAGAATATTGACGACCGCCGAAAGTCAAATGAAACTACGTAGAACAGTATCATATTTCCTGTTTTGTTCTTGTTAAGGAAACATCTTCTTGTTGATTTATTTTAAATTTAAGGGTGAGGATGTGGATGTGGACATAGGATTCTTTTCAGCAGAAGCCTGACACTCATACCCACATATTCCACACCCATACCCACACCCGAGACAACCCATTTATATTTTTCAGTGAACAAGCTTTAAGAATCCTTTATTTCTGATTCATATGCTTCATTTTATCATATGATTCTCTCCATAGATATTTTTTTCTTTTCATCAAAATCTATGAGAATCCAGCAGGAGTAGCACCAGCACCAACGTATTCCCAATGCCAGGGTTCTGATTGAACAGTACGTGTAAATCCATAATTATGTGCATTATTGTATAACCATTGATAAACTGCACTTTCTCCACAAGATGGTTTAGTACTAGATTGAGAGCCACAGTTCGTATTCAAATCTAAAGCAATGCCACGACCATGATTTGATGTACCTGGACTGGCAGCTAGATTACCACCATTACATGATCCAGTTTGATAGCAATTCCAGAAGTATTGTTGACGAGCAATCGTTCTGAAACCAGAAGAAATGGTGATTATGACGCCTCCTTGTTTGGCTGCTGTAGCCATCTTGTCAAAAGCACATGATGTTGTTGTAGTCATCGTATTGTCTTTATCTGTTGGTGCTGCTGAATATATACTTGGATCAGAAAGATGTTCTTTTAGAATTTTCACCACTGAATAGACGATACCATCATTGCCAGCAATCGAGAAAATAGTAGAATCAGCATAATTTCCACAAAGTTCATCTACCAAGAAAATACGACATAATATGTAATAAGTATCTTTTGATGATGAACTTACTCGAAGTAGTTGTTGTTGCCGATAAACAGCATTTAATATCAGCTGGATGACTTTCACATAAATCTGATATGTAAAGACTCTGTGCGCAACTAGAAGTTGGAATACATC